CTCAGTTCCTCATCTGTAAAGTAAGCTAGAGAAGGAAATGGCAAACACTTCAGTATCTTTGCCAAGAAAACCCCAAATGGGGTCACAAAGAGTCAGACATGATTGAAAAATGACTGAACAAAAACAATAACAAATGAGAGATACATAATAATTACATATAATGCATTAAAAAGTATATGTGCCAAGTGCTGTGTTAAGCATTTTACAAATATGTCATAAGATTCTCACAATAACCCTAGGTTCTATTATTGTCTCCATTTTACAGTTGAGAAAACTGAGGTTTAAGTGACTTGCCTAAGATCACATAGCTAGTAAGTGTTGGAAGCTAGATTTAAACTCGTCTGCCTGACTCCCACCCAACTCTCTAACCACCAAGATCACCTAACTGTCTATATTTTTTTAATGATTTGTTAGGTCAAAAGGGGAGGAAAAGTTGTCTCTGAATGAAGGAATAAAGAGAAGACTTCATAGATGAGGTAGCATTTAAATGCTTGCCCTAACTCACCAATTATCTAAAATATTTCCAGTCAATATTAGTAATAATTTATAGTCCTTTTGTCCCCCAATGAGTTTGGGAAATAGATTAGTAAGTAAGGCATTTCAGGAGCACTGGACTGAGAAATAACACCTGTACTTGAATCTCAACTCTTGTACTCATGCCAGGTGTCCTCAGGCAAATCATTTCCCCAATCTGGGTCTTAGTTCTCTGAGCCATAAGATTAGAGGATTAGATTAGATAATCTCTAAAATTTTGTGATTCTGTGAACTTTGTGCCAAATGATGCCCTAGTAATCTAAAAGTATAAATATGCTTCACAAAGAACTCAACTGTTCTAAGGAAGATATTAGGGTAGTTGGAGCACCAAGTTCATGAATGAAATGTATAAAAAGGGATATAAAACTATATACAACACCATGTTGTATTTTCTTTCTGAGGAAAAAAAGGATAGCATAATAACCTTGTGCTTATATTCCATTATTCTTTCCCCATCTCTGGCATTGTTCTACATGTGCTTTCTACAAAGTTCCTATATTCTGTGTTGATCTGCTTGACAAAAAAACTATCACCTAATCAGTTAGATGGCACAGGGAATAGAATACTGGACCTGAAGTCAAGAAGAACTGAGATCAAAACTGGTCTCAGACACTTACTAGGTATATGACCCTGGGCAAATCACTCAACCTCTGCCTGCCTCAGTCTCCTCAGCTATAAAATGGGGGTGGCAATAGCACCTAACTTGTAAGGCTGGATCACAAATGAGATAATATTTGTAAAGTGCTTAGTATGATGCCTGGCACATAGTACATACTTAATAATTTATTCCCTCCATCCCTCCCTGATAACATATATAGCTTGTTGTAAAATTTGATATGTGCAATCAACTGCTTGTGGGCAACCCTAACTGCTTAAGACAAGATTCCTTTTTCTACTCATGAAATAATAATGGTAATAACTGCTTATGTTTACTTAACTATACACACATACATATATGTGTGTGCCACCTAGCTGCCCCATATATATGTGGATATGTATATACATACACACAGAGGTATCATATATACCATTTTCATACATACACACACACAAATACACACCCATATATATAGATAACATGCATCCCATTCTAATATATACACACACACATACATACATACATGCAGATAGACAAGCATACACACAAGAGTGCTTGTGTGTGTGTGTGTGTGTGTGTGTGTGTGTGTGTGTGTGTGTGT